GCTGATAGGCTGCTGAAGACACAGTTGTGTAGTTGGGTATCTCACAGAATGGGTTGTTGGTGGGATGCCGTGATGTGATGGTATGATTGGTGTTGTTGGGGTATACCTCCCCATTGAGGGCCCATACTTGGTGGTGGTATCCACCTCCAGCAGGGAGTGGCAACATCCATGGCAACTTTGGTTGGGATGGATGACCAAGAGGGTCCTCAACATCACCCAACAAACTCTGTTCCAAACTGCTGGTTCTGAATCGGTCTCTCCTAGCCTTATCTCAGGCTAGGCTTGTGTGATAAACCAGGTGTGCAGGGAGTGGAGTAGTAAGGTGGATGGGATGAACCAAGCTGATTGGTATGGTGGCCTTGTGGTGGGGCCAAGGGAGCTTGGTTCATTTGTTTCATTTTCTTCAATGCTATTGCCAGTTGGTGGCTGATCATTGAAAGGGTAACACCTTGGTTGGCTGGTGGGGAAGGAGTCACAATGGGAGGCCCTGGCTGGTTGGCTACAGGGGGATCCACAGGTGTCCTTCCATGCGATGGAACTGGATGTGGAGGTCCTGCAGTGGTGGACCTGTTGATGTTACCAGTGCTATTGCTAGATGCTGGTGGTGTAACACCAATGGCAGGCTGGGCCTGTTGTTGTTGCTTCTTCTTCTTGCGAACCATAATGATGATTGTTGGTGCGCTGGCTGAGTGTGGTGTAGAAGTGTGGCTGTAGAAAATCCAAAAGGAGCGTTGAAGCCTTGCACTGTTGGTGGATGACCAATTGAAGGCTGCTCGACACACTGGTAACCTTGGATTGCTTCGAAACGCTTCAAATCGTGCTCTCGTGGTGTTGCGAGTTACACTGGATCGACACCTCCTACTCGGATCTTCAATAGGTATCTTCCGAGTTCGGAATTTCGAGGAAAATGTGAGGTGACTCGGATCTTGGGCTCGGCCTGCTTTCGGAACAGAGGTACGGTACCGATCTTGTGAGTACCGTGTGAGTACCGGTTCCCTTTTTCCTCCGCAGGCACGACTGAGATATTCGGCTCCGTAAAGGAAAGTCGACAATGATGTTACCAACAGGAACAGCCGTCGCGTTGGATAACCAGGGCCGATTAACAAAAAACTGGCTGGACTATCCTCTCAAGCACCCTCGGGTTGGTAGGTGACCGTCTTGGTTTGGTCGCTACTGCTCGATTGGTTGTGTTTCGGCGCCTCCAGTTGGTTTTGGTCGCGATTTCTTTCGTCGGTCAATCTGTCGCTACCTTCGGCTATCGGCAGCCGTAACCAAGCCGATTAACAAGCTGCCCTTGATGGTAGCTTGCTTATCACCCTTGGATTAGTAGTTACACCAGGTGGTTCCACTCGAAACCGTCGTGAATCCAGTTTTCGGTCGTCGATCTGTCGGCAGGTCTCGATCACCATCTATCGGCAACTCCTCTTCTTCTCTCCGTCCTCGACGATGTCCACACTGAGCCACTCTTGTGTGCTTGCGACAAGTTAATCCTATGAATTCCAGAGGAACTCAGCTGGTAGGTGCACAAGAGCTGGGATGGAGAGCCCTGTTGGTGGAGATCTCCTTCCACTGGCGCTGGAAAGGCCAGCCCAAGGCTGGCAGCCAATGCTATTCAATCACTATGGAAGCAATGATGAACAGTCTAATTGCTCATACCCTGGCACTGGCCATACAGGATCCTGTCTACTGCAGAGCTCTACTTGTGCTGTTGGGTCTGTTTCTCAGGTCAACTACTTCTTCTACTCTCTTTTAAACTATAACATGAACACAAACTCTGATTTTGCGTGAAACTCCATCCAGCCATGCAGGATACAGATCCATGCATCTATCTTGGCTGGTATTGACCAGCTATCTTTCTAGATAGGTCATGGCTGAGGAACTGCATCATCCTTCCTTACAGAGGAACTCTATGTCCTCTACAGCTGTTCCTATCTTGTCTGATGGTGACACAGCTCATTGTACTGAAAGACTGTACAGATGCAACAGCGATCTTTCCATCAGACTGAGCCAGCACAGCTGCGCTGCACCCATATGGCTCCTATGGCATAATCTCATCGTGTCTGATCCTGATGCTTCCATTGTGAATATCTTTCGACACAACCCTGTGACTGGTATAACCTATCTGGCAAGGGGAACCAACAGTAATGAGCGAGATAACTTGGATCTGGCCCACAAAATTCTTGTCGCCACCAGTGTTGGTAAGTACAAGTCATTATTTATTATGCATTGCTCTTCACCCAATTCTCACCAATGTCAATGGCCAAACAGGTATCTATCGAGCTGACCGGTTAATGACTGGTTTCTTTGAAGAACGCAATCAGATGAAGTCGGTTACCCATCTTGGTGAAGAAGACTATGGCATTGTTGAAACTGAAAGGCTTCTGCTTCTCAATTCGATTGCTAAGAAGGTTGGATATAAGGACTCCGAGTTGCCTTTTCGAAAGATATCAGCACCGACTGTCCAGCCAGCGGGTTCCAAGGAATTCATGGGCTTCTGCTACCGGGTGAATGAGTTGCCGGATTTAGAGACAGAAGACAATCAAGAAGAAGATGATGTTCCAGTGACAGTAGATGGTATGTCACAGGAACGCAATGAGGCTACTGAGGAAGACGTGGAACAACAGTTGCAGGATCTACAGCAATCTGAAGCGATCCAGCAAAGCGATGCCTTAAATCGACAACTGATTCAGGCAGAGTTGGCGAAACTGCTTCCTGATAGCAATGGAAGGTTGAGCACTATAGATGCATTCTCCAATCTATCTAACAAGCAGCCTTGGATACCATTCCGATCGCCTGACTCTTCGACAGCTGCTTCCATGTTAGATCGGGAGGAGGAGAGATTGTTTAATGAGGAGCACACCAACTACAACCAACAGGGCCGCGGCAAGCCAAACTACAAGGCCTTTGAGCGGAACTGGAATAATGAGGTGGCTCGCCGATTTAGAGAATGGAGCAGAGGTGATGACACGGTGGTCCAAATCAACAGGAAGAGTCGACAGCAACTGGAGGAGTATCTACGAAAAACAAGGGAAGCTCGCACTTTACAAGCTGCCGCCTCCACCGCCAATGATCCAACTCGAAGTCGACTCAATGCAACTCTCAGGGAAACAAGACGGTCATTGCCAAGTCTTCCCACTCCTCACCAAACACAGCCAAGAGCATACACACAACACCAGGATGGGCGAACACCAATTGGCAACCCAAACTCCCAAAATACAGCCATCTTACTGGGGAGATTGCAAGGAGTTCAAGAGAGTGTAATGCAACAGCTTCGCAATGTCGCCCCTTTTGGTATTGCTGAGCCAGCGGCAGCACCAACTGGCCCTCCTCTGAGGCCACCAAGAAGAGTATTCAGGAGCAGAAGATTCTGCATAACTTGTGGGCACAAGAGAAGAGACCACCATGAAGATGAGGGTGTTGCCAATACCTGCTCAAGGAACTATTGTGGCAACTGCTGGCAGCTCAAGGATTACCATGGTCCTGGTGATGGCTTTGGTCCTACTTGCAGTAAATCAACCCACAAGAACAGCACTGAAAGGGACAATTGGTTTGACATCAAGGTATGTTACTGGTGTTATTACTGTTGACTACTTGGATAACAAACAACAACAATCTTACAGCTGTTGCTTCCTTTCTTTTCAGACATGAGACATTTTCAGGGCATTGAGTATGCATAGACTCCATTGTGGGCAGTGAGAGAGGCCCTGTGGATAATGTACTGCTGGCTACTGATAACCATCCCACTGAAGTTGTGTTTGTGCTTGCTCCAGCATACAGTATTGAACCAATGACTCTACTCTGTAAGTAAGAACTCTTTGGCTTCCCACTCCCACACACCAAACTGATTATAGAGAGCATCCCTCATAAGTGGTCTAACTATCATCTTGCACAACTCTTTCTTTGTGACAGGATCTCCTTCCTCCACTGTCAAAGCAAGCAGAGCAAGGACATCACTGTACCACTCAGAGCTCTGCCTCACTCCCCATCCAGTCATGGTCTCCAGAATCCAGGTCATATCAGGTGTCATGGGCACAGCTTTTTCTTCCATTATGAGTTGCTCGACCATGACACTGGGAAGGTACTTTACCTTTAGCACAAAGTACTGACTGTACCTGTTTGCCCTGTCAGTTTCATCCACCAACAAAACATACTTAAGTTCATAGCTCTGCCTGGTCTTCCGAATCTCATTGAATGGGTAGCGACTGTTAACATCTAGCCAGTGTTTAAAAACAGGAGTAGCTGTGTGCAACATGGTGGTGTACTAGCTTTGCTGTAGTTGGCTGTATAGGAATCCAATCCAATGACTTGATGATGTTCGCGAACGGAGACCAAAATGTGAGCAAGAAATAATGAGGGCTCCAACGGTACAGTGCACCTCTGCGCACCTCTGCGAATAAGTCTTCGAGGCTTCCACAAGACTCGAACTGTTTAAGTGACAAAATTCAAATATTTTACTGTGATCGTTTCTGTAGACTTTGGCGACTCTTGTGAGGAAAAATCGTCCTATAGTTTGCCTGTAACCGCTGTTCGCCCATACCCATCATGCGAGTCGAGTCCCCCAAAAGGCATCTCAATCGTTCATCCAAGCTGCGAATTTGTGTTTCTAAGCCTGCAGTACCGTACTATTTTAAAAATTGCACACCCTGTCACCGTGGCCCTTGATTGATCATGTTGATTGGTGGCCGGCCCATAGTTGAAAAGTAATTTGCTTGGACCAGACAGTTAATACCTCCATTGCCGGTCTGTGCCTGGAAACCTTCTTTGAATTTTTAAGCCTTATGACGCGTTTGATTCTCCAATATGTCTTTTTTACACGATTGTTTTTCTCTCTTCTTCTCGTTTGGAGACACTGGGTAGAATTATGACTTAAGTAATGGTCGTTGGACGCAACTACTGTACCGGTACTGTACGTCACCTGTAACCTGTTTTAATTTAAAATACCACTCTGAGTCCTGAGTAACCACCTCACCAACTCGTGGTGCCACTGTGCCACTGACGAGAACAGCTCTAACAGCTCGAGGAGTTAACCACAAACCACAAACCAAACCGGAAGTTGCTTTTTTCTTTGAGAGCTCTATTTTTATTGGTGCCTGCGACCACCGTTGTTGCTTTTCACCTGTGGTTTGCGGCGACTGTAGAGATCGACAAAAGCGGTGTTGAAGAGTAGACAAAACGGTGCTGGAAGTGAAGTAGTGGAAACCACATCTCATCCTCCCCATTTCCTTTTTTGTTGTCCTCGTCTCTACCGATCTAGCTTGGTAAATCCACCATAAACTGTATGGGAGTACTGGAGTACTTACTTTCTTACTTTATTGATCATTTGAGATGATGGAGAACGAGACTCGTCAAGGTCCAGACGAAGAGGTTGGCGGACAGGACCGTCGTGGTCGTCATGACGATGACAACAATGAAGAAGAACAACGAGCCCTTCCCAATCGTCAACACCGAGTTCTGGGCCCCTTGGACGCGGGTCGCATGGATCTCTTGTCGGATGAACTCCAAGCCATTCGCAACCTCAAGACGGCCGTCAAGGACGATCCCGATCTCCTTGTGATGGACGGCCCGTTTGCGTTCTCGGATTTTGATCTCAGTCAAATCATCATTGCCAATTACGGCAACGTCGATGCCGCTCTGGAACAGGCTCAAACATTGCAAGGTTTTCGCATGGAATACGACATTGAAGAGTCGCTCGAAAGTGGGCTTTTGTTCCTCTACGAAGCCATGCGACTCTTTCCGGGCTTTTTCCTCTCCCTCTCGTTTACCCGAGAACGCCATTCCGGTCACTACACCTTGGCGATTGACATTACCAAACTCTGTGCCGGGCTAATGGCTCTCTCGGATGGTAGTGCCATGAAGATTCTCATTACGGCACTGTACTTTTGTCTGCAAGCCATGAATCCCGACTTGGAGGCCACACGGCAGGGTATGATTTTGTTGTGCGAATGCGAAAAGTTTGATTGGAAAACTGACATGACGTTGGGAGGATTCAAACAGATTCACGCCGAGCTCGTCAAGGAATATCCCACACGATGGCGGTGTACTCGCAATTTCAATACCGGACTCTTCTTTCAGTTGATGATGAGTTTGGGCAAATCCTATCTGCCGCATGATATGCTAGGAAAAGTACAAATGGGATGTACGTCTCCGGCGGGACGACTGGATAATATCTATCTGCAACCGAGTTTGGAGGCATCGAACGAACGATTTCTAGAGAGATTTGCCGATGCATTGAGAAGACGGTATGCCAATGCGGCAGCTTTTGTCGTGAAGCAACAACCGACATCGTCGACAGCAGCTGATTAGCGAGTAGAATAGGACAAATTTTGTACAGTTAGCTGTTACTCGAATAAATGAATCAATCACTCGTTCAATCGATCGTCTTGTTGGCTGCAGGTCGCTCCTTTGGGCCCTCAGACGTCGGGGGTTACCAGGTACATGTAGAACGAACCGGGCAGTTCTTGCATTCACTGAGCGGTGTCTATCCGCCTGTTAGCCTACCGGTACTTGACCACTCTTTCAGCCCTCGGTCGGTCGCTTCGGCCTGCCGCCGACCTTGGGTGCCTGTCTCCTCCCATTATTCAGAAGTAGCTAGTTCGTTTCTGATTAGGGCAACTCGAGTGAGTCCTCAGTCTCAGTCCAAACGGCAACTCCATCATCATGTACACATTGGTGCCCGAGTGTCTCGGCTCACGGACCAACTCTGGGACCCCCGGTAGACCTCGTGGACCAACTCAAGGTCCCACAAAGGGACCCACCCCCCTCGTCCATCTCCAGTGGTTTCTTAAAAGAAATACATTTCCACCAAAGGGGTTATTTCTATGATCAGATGAGAGACACCTGTGGCTCCTGTTTCTAGCTAGCTACTAGGGAGAATCCTTCGATTGAATCTTCGGTTTGGTGAGGTGAAGACGGAAAAAGTGCAAGTACATGTATTCTGTTTCTGGAGTTTGGCACCCGGTGGCTCATCTTTGGTTGATTATGTAGCTTTTGGTTTGGTCAGAGTTTTGTTGATGGAGGTTCAGGTGGGCACCAGCTCTCCAGGAGGTTTCGTTCAAACTCTGGTCGTTCCTGGGCTAAATCTGTCCTGCAGCAGCTACATCGTGGGCTCTCTCCGCACTCCCCACCCATACACAGTGTAGTCTTTTGCTTGCTAGACTTGTCTGCAGCCCATGTTGAAAATGGGACGATGGTGCTCTCATCACCGCAATCTAGGGTGCTCTGTGGGGTGGGGGCCTGTTCAAGTTTTGTTTGTAGTCCACTGTCAACCAGTGTCTGACCTTTGACGCTGGCTTAATTTGCTGGTTTGGTACGTACGTCGCTCGAAGCGAAGCGGCAACAACAGCAGGCGTGACGGCGTGACACTCCGCCAAATTCTTCCATTCTCTTCCGCAGACGCGCCAGTTCATCATCAGTCCTCGCTCGTCCACTCACCAAACAAGCATTCACTCAAAATTTCGCACTCAAACGCCCACTGCCTCACAAACTGACCGTCCAGCAGGCCAACAAATAGTTGCACTTGCCCCAACATCAAGCATCCTGTTATCAAGAGCACATGACCCCAGCGGCTAGCATTCTTCGACGAAAGACGGACATGACATCCTGACAGAGTTTCAGAGCGCTACGACACCGTTTCTTTGACTTCATACTTCCTGATTGATAGATTAGCATTTCTTGTACCGATACTGTACAAGCCTCCACGTAGAATACACTGTATACCACTCTGAAAGACTGTACCCACAACATACACTCGGATAGAGCACTGCCGCATTACATTACAACCCAACAAAGCACAACAAAGCACAACACTTCAAGCAATCACACCACAACAAGCAAACATGGGAATGCGAGACGTGCTCCAGAACCTCTTCCAAACCAATCCATCCTCCAACAACGAAAGCGACATGATGTTTGCCAACTTTCCAACTTCTTCCTACGGCACTGCCAATGACGAGGAAAAGCATCCTGTTTTGGAAGAATCCTCCACCTACTCGACGGACAGCAGCAGCGAAGCCTCCCTCCCCGGTTCACCCCAGCGACAAGGCAAGAGCAGTAACAAGAACAAGTCTTCCTTGACCATTTTGCAACTGGCCGTGCTCATCTTTTACTCGGTCAGTGGAGGGCCCTTTGGCATGGAGGAATCCGTTCGCGCGGCAGGACCTTTCTACACCCTCTTGGGATGTCTGGTGGCACCCCTCATTTTTTCGGTCCCGGAATGTCTCATGACGGTTGAATTGAGTTCCGGTGGATTTGCCTCTTCGGCAGCCGGATGTGCATGGGTCGAAGAAGCCTTTGGGAATACGGCGGGATTCTTGACGGGATATCTGCAATGGGTTTCGGGGGTCACGGACAATGCCATTTATCCCGTGCTCTTTTTGGAATATCTCCTGCAAGTCTTTCCCAATGACACTTTGCAAAGCGATGAGGGATCGAATATTACCAAGTACATGCTCATTACCAGTATCAGCGTCGGATTGTCCTATCTCAACTGGTTGGGATTGGATCTAGTCGGCAACATGTCCATTGTCGTTTGTGGCATTGCCATGAGTCCCTTTGTACTCTTGATGATGTTTGGAGCTACCAAGGTGGATCCAGAACTGTGGTTCCAAGTGCCAACGGATTTTATGGAGGATATCAGTAACAGCACCATGCTGGACAACACTGTAGCTGCCGTTGCAGACGATGATGACATGGACATGGAGGGCGGATTCTTTCCCAATCTCGTCTTGGGCGGAGTCTTGCTCCGACCTTTCCTCAACAATCTATTTTGGAATTTCAACTCGTTTGACAATGCCGGGTCCTTTGCCGAGGATGTGCGCGAACCTTCTCGGGTCGTGCCTCGTGCCATGTTGTGGGGACTCATCATGGTTGTCTTGGGATACATTCTTCCCATGCTCGTGGCGTTGGGGACTACCGACGCGGCACCTTCGGAATGGGTGGATGGATACCTCGCCACGGTCTGCACCGAAACGGTCGGGCCCTGGCTTGGACAATGGTTGGTCTTGGCGGCAGCATTGAGCAATATCGGACTCTTCCAAGCCGAACTCTCCGCCGATGCCTACATGCTCATGGGCATGGCGGAACGAGGATACTTACCACAATTCTTGGCCCAACGCAACCCCAAAACAGGGACACCCACCTACTCGCTCTTTCTGGGGACCATGGTCATTGTCGTCATGGGGGTCTCCAACTTGGATTCCTTGATTGAAATGCTCAACTTCAACTATGCATTGGCACTCATTATGGAATATGCAGCCTTTTTGAAACTACGCATCTCCAAGCCAGATGGTGAGTATTGTATTATCTTTGGTTGGACTGTTGTTGTTGTGGTTTACATAGCTTGTCTGCTGACGATTCTGTTGCTGCTTTTCTTGTGCAGTCGACCGTCCCTACAAGGTTCCTCTCGGTACATTTGGTTGTGCCATTGCCTTGATTCCCACCATTATGGCTCTTGTGGCAGTGATTGCTCTTGCCAGCTACACGACAATCTGCGTCAATGCCGTCACCATTACTTTTGGAATCCTGGCATACACACTGACACGACGAATGCAAGCGTCAAACCAGTATGAACGGGTGCCAGCCATGTCCTTTGATGTATGACATGACACGCCAGATGCAAAAGAGGACGAAGTTTTTAGTGCGAAAAGCAGCTACCCACAACTTGTAGAAATAAAAAGATGACACATCTGAACAAATACATAATGCAACATACAATTCATCAGGGAGATAGAGAACGTCAGAGTGATTGGCTTGTTGGAGTTGTGCGCATGAAGCGAGAGCACAGTCAGGCCAACGAAACAGGAGCCAAGTTACGGAGCCTTCACTGGTTAGACGGAAACTCCTATGCAAAGACTACACGAACTAAAGCAAGAAGTGCTCAAAGTCCAACATCCATCCGTAGACAACAACTGCTAATGAACTCATAATCGCAAGCCCTACACATCATGCACAAGATAGCTACATGTAGAAGCTCAACGCCCACTCCTCGCGGTATTGCTGCAAAGGTTCGCCCAACCACAACGTCCCAACAAACCTGAAACAGTTTCCTGCCTGCTCTTCTCGGACTGACTTCCTGTGTTTTGGATGTGGCCATGATGTACCCTGAGGCTAGCTCGCCATCTGGCTTTACCCTCTTGCCCGCATTTTTCTTGTCAGCGAATGTCATGGAACTGAGAGTTTGCTGCCCAGGAACATGGAACAATCCAAAGTCGAAGATGCCACCACCTAGCTACTAGTAGCCATCAATGGACTTGGTTGCGGCGGCGCAGTGCCTTCTGCAGACACTCTTGATAGTTTGGATATCCCTTCTCGTAAAAGTAGGGGAAATTCTTGACTGTGCAAACACATCCATCGGGGTGTACCTGCTCCAGCCCAAGAACTGCGAGAGCATTGTTGGTTGTGACCATGGTCAAGGCTCCGTCATCTCCAATATCGCCACTTCCTGGAGTCATTTGCGATTCCAAGGCATCAAACTGTGATTGTGAACTAATGACAGGTAGAACCGTTGTGTTTCGGTAGAGGGACCCAGAATCATACAGAAACCTTTGGAGTTTGGGACAGTGGCATGTTACCCAGCCTAAGCCTTCCAGAGATAGGAGGCGCAAGTTGTTGGATCGAATGACAAAGTGTGGTTGCTCTCTTTCCTCCAACGCACCACTGGTGCACTGCACGTGAAAGAACAACTCTTGCAAATTGGGCAAGCCTTGTAGCAAGCCCTGGATCATGGTTCCGTCGACATGATGTGCCAGAACATTTTCACCACCATACGTACCCGTACAGGAAAACCACAGTTGCTCGGTAAACACCAACTGAAGCGTGGTAAGGGAGGAAAGCCTCAATTTTTGCACAAGTCTATGATCAGCTCTGATATAGAGCAATGGGAGGTTCAGGTGCAAATGTTGCACCGAGGGGCATTCTGATGCCACCAAGTCTAGAAACTGTTGGGAGGCCCCGCCACGTTTCTTGGAGGATTGCTTTCCGGACGAGGATGTTTCATACCACTCGACAGATTTGACGTGATCGGTGTCGCACTCTTGCATGACTTGACGAACTTGATGTGGGAGCATTGGATGACTGCTTTCGGATGTGATAACGACCGATCCAAGGACGTTATTTTGCTTCTTCCTTTGGAGCAACCAGGCAATTTTTGCTGCCTCAATTGGTGTTGGCACTCGGGTGTCACAGGTCCATTCGAGAAAGAGCCCCGTAATCTCTTTTGTTCGTTGCTCAAACAGATCCTTCCATTTTTGGCAGACTGGAACGAGAGTATGCTGCGCGGCAGCAGCAACTTCGACCTTGGTAAACTTAGGCCGGTTCTTGGTGTCCACCCCATCATCTCCGCCTCCACCAACATAAGACCAGATTCTCACAAGCAAATCATCCGAAAGGGTATCCATGGTGACGATATTATACTCGTAGTCTAACTCATATGCTAAAAAATGGCTTGAGGTGAGTTCTGTGGTCATTTCTTTTGTCTAAATCTTGGACGCGCCTAATTTCCAAGTCCATTCATGCAACAATTAGAGGTGTGTGACACATATTCCTCTAATTACTGTGCCGCATGCAAGCTCCCGGATCCAATAAGCTGTCCTTGCCCCCCTGAAAAAGACAACTAAAACACCACCATCCCCACACCTCATCATGCCAGGGATCAAGATAGACTACCATACCTATCGCAGAGACCCAAGAAGTATAGATCATGCCACCCTCTGAGCAAAAGATCCGCTATGGCATTGCCACAGTGCCTCAGGTTCCAGACAACTTCACGGGCGAAGGAGGACTGTGGGCATGTGAAGCCTGCAACGAGACACTCACGCTTCCAAACAATACGAAGCAATGGACATGTGCTCGATGCATCAAGGTCATGTACACCATGCCGGAAAGCGAATGTCCTCTCGAGAAAGTGAGGCGGGCATTTGTCAAGCAAATGAGGTGACAGCGTTTTGCAAGACAGCGGTGCTCGTGGTGGACTGTTACGTATTTGGCTGGTCAAAACGGGTACCTACCATTCTTTCTACAATCAACAGCAAAAGAAGGGCACTTCCCAACCTCCTCAGCGAGTGAATACTATCATTCTAGGGGTTGGACGCGGACGGGAGAAATTGCCAAAGAATTTTCGCGGCCTGATCCTATATCTGAGTTTCATACAGACTGGCAAAAGACTTTACTTCACATTGTTGACCACATTGTTGATGGTTGATGGTCTTAGCAGGGTTATGACATTTTTCTTTGAGCTCTTTGAACAGCATCACAGCCTGAGCACATGAAAACCATCCATATTGTCAATCCCAGCAACCATCGTTTCCATCAGGGGCCCCATGGCATGCGATCATTGCGTGGGTACTTGGTATTTCAGGTCATTGAGAACTTACCGTGCAGGTACCACGTACCGGTGGAAACGAAAGTGTTGCAAGTACTTGTGCTAGTGATGATTCAGTTGACGAGACAATGCATGGGCCGAGCAGACACTGCCTCAGATCTTGAGTCTCGAAAGTCCAGCCCGTTTCGACAGTACTTGTGCAGACTGTACATAGTTCCACGATCCAACTGCCCCAGCAAACTACAGACGCTCCTTTTGACTGCTTCGAACACGAGAACACGAGACGATTGAGTACGAAGCTCGATCTGAGCTGGGGCGTTGGGCGGTCACAAAGAAAGCATGCACCTTCATCATGAAAGTGACGCAGTGCTAGGCTTGGCAATCGGTTGTGGTTGTGAAAAGAACAATTTTCTATTTATTTCTTGTAAACCGCCCATTCATTGGGCATGGCGTAACCCGCCGCCTTCGACAAGATTCTACCGATAGTTTTGCTTTGAGTGGGTACGTCGACTCGATGCCCTCTATTTGTGGTGCTCATCGCGGAGAACTGCGAACAACTTGTAATCCCGGAAGTCCCAGTTGCACAAATCTGAGATTTCGTGGAAGGCCAACTCCGTATCGACGTAATTCTTGTAGATCTCGAGGAAGCGTTCAGTTGTCATCAGTTTCCCATCACCCAGGCGCGCTTCAAAAGCGGCACGGAGCCCATCCGGCCCATCCGGATCCGGCAAATTGACGCCTTGAGATTCACAGCGTGAGACTACCGCCATCGCGAAAATCGCTGTCAGAATGTAGTCCACTTCGTCGTCCCGGATATCTTGTACGGCTTCCGTGTTGGACGTCTTCTTTGTGTTCGAGTCCACAAGTGCGAAATGGCGGCCTCCGTTTTGTATGTCTTGGATTGCTTCGTAAGCCTTGGTCATGTATGAGCCGTCGGTGGAGAGATTCATGACATCCTTGCGACCAAGCTGAGCCAAGAAATTGAACAGGCGGCCAAGAACCATCGAATCCATATGAGGATTTGGTTGGATTGTTGACGACAATGCAATGGATCCTGCTTTTACGGCTTTGGAAATCACCTTTTCATTGCTCTGTAGTGCTTGGTATTGCTTCTCCAGTATTTTGCATTTGGTTTTGTGACCACCTTTCCAGCTCTTTTTCTGGCATTCAGAGCTGCAGTACCTGGCAGCCTTGCATCCAGTACATTTCTGGACTCCTTCAAAATATTTGTCACATTCCCAGCATGTCTCTCGGAAGTTGCCCAAGCCGGCAGCCACACCTGCACATGCGAGTGTTGCATGTTTGAATTCATTCTCAAAGTCTTCACATACATTCTGTACGTGAGGTAGACCGAATTCCTCAACAACTGATTTGAAATGATCGAATGTTGTCTGGTAAGCACATGAATTGTCGACAGGACCATGTCCTGTGATTTGGAATATCTCATGCGACCAACTGGCAAGCAAGGAATCATGCTCCCCTTGACAAGCTTTCACCAAAGCAATCCACTGCGACGCATGAACCATTTCCCCCGATGGCGAGGCGAGTATACAATCCGCGAATGCCGACCACAAGCTTTTGGCAAGCTTTACAATGGCAATGCTGACTCTATGGTCTTGGTCTTTCTCAGAACCCGGTGCTCCAAATGCCATCTTTGCAAGTCCTGTAGCGATAGACCTAAACATGATGTGCGGAGCTTCTTCTGCCGTGTCGTCGTAGCTGCCAAACCTGCAAAGAACTCGATTCACGGCAAGATCCTGAGCAGTTTTTGTTATAAGATCCACATTTCCTTCCTTGATCCCTTTGATGGTTTCTTCAGGCAACACCTTGTGGAGATTGCTGGCTTTGAATCGGCCCATTTTCCCTTGCTTTTTGGCCTTCTTCTTTGTTGACATGGCTTTGGGTTGTTTGATTGAAGGGGCTGTGGAAATGTTTAATAAGAGCATGAACTGCCATGACAATTATGACAACAGCAAGCAGCATTTTTTTTAACCGCCCTGGTTGGACGCGAATTTGAATGATCAATCGATCCTCAATCGAATCGAATGATTCGATTCAATCGATGCGGATTGAATTCGATTCGATTCTACCGGGAACCGTGCCGGTACTGTAGCGGTACTATAGCTGTTTCAGTTCCTCGTTATGTTGGGCAGGTCGTCGAAGGTTTCCGCCCAAATATTTCAAAGCGACATGAGTTGACAAATGTAGCAGTCCGTGTAACGACGAGCCTAGCAGCTGGCATCAGAGTTTCCTCCAATGTGCTACCAGGTACTGGAAGAAACGAAGTATCGCAAACGCATTTTGGAAGTTGCTGCCCTCTCATTTTCTTTAGAAGTTTCCTTTCCTGCTCCAACAATTGCTGAAGCACCACATTTCTAAACAACCCACCTATTCGCCATACCATACCATACCGTACCAAGCAGACATCCGATACTTCCTCGCTAGCTCTCCAGCTTGTGTCGTTTTATTGATGCCCTGGCGACGCTCATGCAGAAGTCCTACTCCATGCTGGTACACTTTAGGACGTGCTTTCTTTGACTGTGCTAGACTGGCAATAAGCACAATGAGATTCTTACTATGTAATAGTCCGGTTAGGCTACTGGTACTGACCAATCCTCCACGGCAACCTTGTTCTTGCCCCCATATTCCACGGGCAAATTGTCGTTGGAAATGTGTCGATAGAGATGCTCTCGTTCCTTCTCATTTTTGGTTGGATTGATCATATCAAACTTCTCCATAACGCGCTTTGGGACAACCAGAGTCAGGATCTTCCAAACGGCTTTGATGAATGCAGGAGGGTCACAAAGATAGACAACCTCCAAAGACTGAGGGTAGCAGTCTTCCATGAGCGCCATGGCACGACCATCTCGCATACTACACTCCCGATTGAACATGCGGATGGACAAGCCGCTGCCGTCGACGATTCGAATCGACTTGGTAAGCCTTCCGGTTGTACGGGTTACATAGTCCAACCATTGATGAGCCCACTCTGAAATGTAGAGGTAAATGTCCAGCCAATAATCTTCTGACATTTCTGCCACCAACTTGTGGTGATCCATGCTTTTGATCCGTATGAAACCCACTACGCCTCGTTCCTTGTCGGGGAGTGTGAGAACCATGGCGTCCCTTTTCCATTTGCTCATAAATTCAGCCACCTTTTGAGTGTGCATATCATCATCTTGTTCGTTGTCATTGTTGTTGCTGTTGTTGTCACCCTTTAATTTGACTTGATGAGGAGGGACACTTCGAATATCTTTTTCATCGAGCTTGTGCTTGTCGCGAAACTCCAAGGTGTGCTTGGCGGCGGCAATGGCTGTCTTTGATTTCTTGTGGCTCAACCAAAAACGAAGGATCCATAGATCGTCATGCTTTGTGGGGTTGTAGAGTGGATCATCTTCCAATACTCCCTTGATCTTGGCAATCTTCTCGGAATGCTTCTTGATCAGGTCCGCCACTGCAGGTCGATGATCCTCCGGGCACACAGGGTCAATCGGCTTTTCGGCGATGGCCGCATCAATTCCTTTCATCCAGATCCAGGAAGTCATGATAGAAGTATCGAAGTGATGGTTTTATTATTTTAAGTAGCTTTTGTTTCAGAGGTTTTTTTATGCCAACGACCCGTTTTGGAGTGATAGGATCAATCGGTGGGGCCGGTGGTTGAGCTGATTGGCAAACTCTTTCAACTTTCAACTCTTCACGGTTTCGCTTGCTGTACTGTATGGGTCAACAGCCGGTGACAGAGTTGATCATGGATCATTCATCAACAACAACACCTTCATGAAGTCTTACAAGACCAAAGATTACCGTACTCCTCCTGCCACCAGCGCCTGTGCATCCTTGAGGTGTGGAAACTGTTCCGTACCGTACAGTACCTTACCGTACCTTCCGTACCGTACGTAATGTCCCAACGTCCCAACATCCAGGCCCGGTTACAATTATTGTTGATGCTATGCCCTTTAAATCTTGTCATTGCAAGGGAGCATAAACATTAATTAAAAATGAATACTTAAATGCTGGTACGCTGGTACCAGGTAACCGGAGATCAGAAAGGCCCAAGGCACACAAAGATGCTCAACCGATGGGCAACAAAGAGATGCCGAGTCGGTGAGATGACGAGTAGTCTCTCATTGCATGCATGCTGCACGAACCAACCGATGGGCTGATGGCTCGATGGCCGGGATATCCATTCAGATGGCTCTGAACCATGTATTGGATGTGCCGATTGCTTGGAAAGCAAGCAAGGAAATGCTCACAATTCGAAACCATTAGACTACTAGTACTACTAGAAAGAAGCAACCAATCAACAAAATCATGTGCCAGCAACACGAAAAACGCATGTCAGGAAAAACCATCGTCGCAACGTGTCCTTTTGGGCATGGCAAAACAGCCGGAGTTTGCCCCGCAGGATATGGTAGAGCACCAGTCAAGAGAATCTCGTTCACTTTAAACCTCACCCCCGATGATCCATCCATCCAGCAGCTGGAGAAACGGTCATGGGAAGGAGAGGACGGCAACTCCTTGCTGCGTTTTGGACCTCAACCACACCATGTCCTCTCCCCCACGAGTTGGGTCTGTCAAGGGGTCCGACTCGTCTCTTGCATTGTGTCCCCCCCAGTGAAGGATGTCTTGGAAGTCTCTTTCAGAGATGACCAAAACCTCTATGACACTGTCCAGAGATTCCTTGCTCACGGCCCAGAAGAATTCTTTGCCAAGGTGGCTCAGCCTGATTTGGGCGGTGGATTGGTACAAGTTTGTCTTGCAGGGTTCAAATGGGTCTATGTAGTGACCAACTCTGATGTGGCAGACCAAGTTGTGGCCAGCAGAGACTGGGATCGAGGTGATTCCGTCTACGCCTTTGGCCGCATGGTGGGGTCCCTGTTTGGGACACAATCGGGCAAAGTTGCTCGAAAGGGCAAACGAACCTTCTTGGCTGCGGTGGGTTGCAAGGGTGAGAATCTCAAGGTGATATCCAACACCGTGGACAGGGCTTTTGCCGATCTGTATGATGCTAGTTGGACTCTGGGTGGTGTTGCCCGTATGGAACGAAACCTGTACAAGTTTTGCAATGATACCGCCGTAGGATCAGTGTGCCGAATTCTCCTGGGATCCGAAGAGGGGAATTTCCAACCGGACAATGCTCTGCAGGTGACCATGCGAGCTGCCGAGAATATTGTCATTGGTGGTACCGATCTGAAGAGTGTGGTCTTTGGGCCAGAGATCCGCTCCGAGTTTTGCGAGGCGCGTGATGATTTGCATGGCCTCTTTCATCAAATCATTGTTGACTACGCCCCTGAAATTGCCAAGGGAAAGAGCTACGCGAAAGAGTGGGCGGTAGATCAGCTCAGAGCCCAAGGGTTGGAGGAGAGTGACATTACAGAGCAAGAGATTGCACAAGAGCTTGCAGAGAATCGATCAGGGGTGGCCAGTGGTTTGGGGGCATTGGCGGCTTTTGCCAGCTTTAATGTTACCAGATCGTTGTATTTCCTTCTTCGAGTCCTGGAGGAACAACCAACTTTGCGGGCCTCTTTGGTGGCACAAGCCCAGACAGTTCCAATGGATGAACCACCAACATATGCCACCTGGAGTTCTGTGCCTCTGGTGACGGCTACTGTAGAAGCCGTGTTGGCCCAGCTTCTGCCCACCTGTGGAATGCCCCGGGAAGCCATGGTTTCTACAAAACTGAAAGTAGACGGCAAAACAGTGACATTGCCCAAGGGCTCCTTGTTGGTGTTGAACTTTGCCTCCTATCAAAAGGGACGACACAACAATCATGAACAGGCAATGGACCCAGCGGAATTGGATGTTACCGAATGGATGGGCAAGAATACTCCCAAGCAGTGGGCCTTTGGGCGTGGAGATCGTGCCTGTCCCGCACAGCATGTGGCTCGAGATGTGCTTCGAGTGGTGCTGCTACGCTTGTGCCAATCGGATGTCTCTGTGGACATCTCGAGGAAAGTTCCCTTTACGCATGGATGGGGTGGACACGGACCATTGGAAGACAACCTCAAGAATGATCCCGTGAAATTGGTCTTGACGAAGCAGCAACCTGCGGACGATGAAGAAATCTTTTATGACTGTCAGAGTGCATAAAGTACCATTTCCGTTTGATGTTCCCGTTCCCTCGCGACGTGTGCTCCGACGCTCAAGTTCCTATTTTGGCATGATTCGACAGGTCTAAACTTTTACTAGCTTACTTTGTCCTTCAGTTGATGCAATCCACTCTCTAGCTAGCTAGCTATTCGCTTGGTCGGTGCGTGCAAACTTTTCATACTCTTGAAAGTCGCTCTCTGGCTATCGGTGCCTGGCACCATGTTCCTTTCAAGCCGCATGGGAGGGCGGCACCGGTGCCGATATTTGCCTGCAGAGCTGTATTTCCAAAGATACAAAGACGGATCTTTCGTGATGACGCGATCTTTTTGGCCATCAATTTTGGGGTTCGCTCCATTTCTGTCCTTCCCAACATCCAACACCCACCACAAACAAAGCAAAGTCACAACCCAGAGTAGAAACCAGCTCTCGCTAGAATCAACCCAAGCATCATGACAATGGGAGGACGCAACGGGAAGTTGGTGTTGTTCTTGGCCCTAATAATTGTGCCAGAGAATGTCTTTTCTTTTGTGGCCAGAACTTCTCCCCTTTGGACCAAAAAACCGTGTCCCACCACCCAGCTGTATAGCTCTAGACAAAGTGGCACTCGTTGGACCGATTCATCACGATGGGAATCGTCGGAAGAATCCTTCCTCGGAGGAGGTGAACAGCAATTTTTGCTACGAGAAAAGTACGGAACCTACTTTAAGGTTCCCAATCCAGCTTCGCTCATGACCAAGATTATCTGTACCATTGGCCCCGCCACGAAAAGTCCCAGTATGCTGGGCAAGATGATGGATGCTGGCATGTCGGCCGCACGCATCAATATGAGTCACGGCAACTTTGCCTATCTGGAGGAGTGCATCGACAATGTCCGCAAGGTGGCCAAAAGTCGGAACAAGCTGTGCCCCATTATTCTCGACACCAAAGGTCCCGAAATTCGAGTCAAGCAATTGACACTGCAAAAGAGGAGTCAAGACCCAGACGATGGGGAATCTTCTCTAACTACGACATTGGAAACACTCCCACTGTTAAAAATGACATTGGAATCGGGAGATGGATTGATCTTGTTGACGGGAAGACACAGTGTCCACGATCACTCCGATGCCGACATTCAAGACACACAAGACTTTTTGCAATCCCCACCACCACCATCCGGCAACAATAATGTCGTCAAGACGGCCTGTGTCACCTACCAGTACATGGCCACGGCCGTCAATGTCGGAGATGTGGTTCTCTTGGATGATGGACGCATTTCACTTATTGTGACCAAGGTACCCAATGATGAAGAAGTTCATACGCAAGTCATTGAAGGAGGCGACCTCAAAATCAACAAGGGCGTCAATCTACCAGGTTGTCAGGTCGATTTGCCACACTTGACGGAAAAGGATGTAGAAGATATTCTGGTAAGCAAGCAACCCCATACATTTTGTGTTTTGTGTGCATTTACGCGTGTCTGCTTCTAACAAGAGCCATTGTTTCAATCTCTTCCGCCTTCCCTGGGCTGGATCGGTGGATCCATTGTTTGCGTCTACTGCCAATGACAACAATACACGTTTCCACACACACACCACCAAACCCTTCCCACCTCATTCTATTCCTGCAATGGCTGCTCTCCTCGTTCATTCATAATTTCCCATTCTTCAGTTTGGTGTGTCCAAAAAGGTGGAGTACATTGCCCATTCCTTTACACGATCTGCAACCGGCGTTAACCAAGTCCGAGAATTGCCGGGCGTCGTCGAAGCGGGATGTCACATTATTGCCAAGATTGAATCCCAAGAAGGACTCGACAATTTTGAATCCATTCTCAAGGTGAGTGATGGAATCATGGTGGCACGAGGCGATCTGGGTGTGGAAATTCCGTTGGAACGAGTCTGTTCGGTACAAAAACGATTGGTCGCGAGTTGCAATGCCGTGGGGAAACCAGTCATTGTCGCCACGGAGTTGCTCGATAGCATGATCAGCTCCCCACGACCCACCAGAGCCGAAGCATCCGATGTCGCCAATGCTGTATTTGACGGGGCCGATTGCGTCATGTTGTCGGGAGAAACTGCCGTGGGCAGCTATCCCGTTGAATCGATTCAAGTCATGACACGAATCTGCAAAGAAGCCGAGTTGGATGTCGCCAGCAGTCTACGCGCCATGGCAGCCAATCCGACTACTGCGGTTGCCACCAATAACAACAACCTTATGATCAACGGTGGTAGCAACAATTACGGTGGAGAACGAGGTGCCCTGCGAGACGCCTTTTGCAAATCGGCCATTATGGCTGCTCGTGAAACCAATGCTGCCTTGATTCTGGCAATCACCAAAACCGGCATGACGGCCAATGCATTGGCCAAGTTCTTTAGCTCCGTGCCTGTCATGGTGTTGTCAACGTCTGAAAATGTCTGTGCACAAGTTCTCTTACATCGAAGTGTGACACCCTATATCGTGCAAAGTTTGAAACGAGAAAGTTGCATTCCTCGCGCCATTGCTAAGGCTACCGAGCTGGGACTGGTGGGACCAGGGAGCCGGGTCTTGCTATTGACCGGACCAGATGATATGATTGCCAATCGATTGGAAACTTTTACCGTGGGCGAAACTATCGTGCCTCCTCCCCCAGCAACCTGGGAAAATGAACAACGCAGAATCGCTCCGCAGAAAGAAACACAGGAGGACGTCGATGCCGTGACAGCAGAAGTAGTTGACGATGACGAGTTGGATGACGAAGGGGCTGGTTGGTAAGCTGTTATAAATTCAGTGCTATTGCTCCAGTAAAGCAGGACAAGCAAACGGGCTAGTTGCACCTCGCCCTAGTACGGCATTCTCCCCATGAAAGGCGTGTGTAAAGGCAGTGGCACCAATTCCTCACAATGATGAAGTCTCGCGTGTGCACCAAAAATGTGCTCAATAGAGAAACTCTTGATTGTTGCCAACTTGTACATCGCACACTATGCACACCCTCGCTCCCCCGTTCCTGATCGGGGGTCGACGCAGCCGTCAACAAGAAGATCTGTTGGAACCCACTCTAGGATCCACTCCAGGCCCCAATGCACTGCTGCATCAGGACAAGCACAAGTACCCACTCTGAGCCCCAGCACCCCTGCCACAGCTGGCTCTAGGACCAACTCTAGCCAGAAACAACACCAGGATCTACCCGGTACAGTATGGTGTGGTGTGCACAAAATCGTCAACAAAAGTTGTCTGCAAAAATCCTAAAAGACTGTCCACTGATAGTTCAGAAGTAATACTTTTGAGACTGAAAGTGTTCGGGAGCAGCGTTCGGGAGCAGTGTTCCCAAATTTGCAGAGGAATGTGATTTTCAGCTTGCCCTTTGTTAAAGAGGCCACCAAGACCAACGCAACTATTGCAGTAGTTGGGTATTTGGTTGCTAGCCATCCCTTCAGCACGGATCTAGGCCAAGGAGTCTTTTGACAACGGAAACACAATTGTGACAGGTTGTGACAGCATGCATAACAAATAATGACCTTGCCCAATTCGTGTGTCACCATAGCTTTCCTGTTGTTTCTAGCTAGCTATCTAGTATTTTCAAACTACAGCACTGTAGCAATGCCCCCTTGGCCTCCTGATAGACGGAAGAAAATTGTATAAGGAACGGCATGACATTGTGAAAAGACCTTTCTGAACCGACCCCCATCTAGCAGCCCTACAAGCTAGCTAGCTGACCCCCATTTTCCCAAAGAGCACCTTGGAAATGTCCTCTTTCTTCATTTCCACAATCCTCGAAAAGCAATCATTGATTCCGTAGGCAACCAAGATTGTGGAAGGATCGTTATGCTTCTCGGTAATCCCACTCACAAAGTGAATCCGGGGACAATTCAAGACAAGCTGACCATTGTGGCGATCGTCTCCAAACACCATTGTCTTCCACCGGGTTGCTTGGATCAACGGTTCGTCTGCTTCTTGTGTGACCGAAGGAAATCCAAGACAGAACCACCCCGATTGCGCCACAACGGCAAAGGGCGGCGATGGTGAAAAGGCGTACCAGCGTGACAAGTACTGATTGGGCAATACTTTGGCAGCAGTCGCGTTATTGTGGCCTCGATCATTCCACAGTGGCAATCGCTTGCCACTGCGCTTGCCAAACTTGGGGATTTTGGTATGAAATATTCCCACCAACAGAGAATTGCCGTGTGGATCTGTCAGAGACACGCAACAAGCCCCACCACGGCCTCGTGCCAGAAGCACTTCGGACGGTTCCATGTTTGGAAACATGACTTCTTCCATGGTATGCCATGCTACAGCTGGTTGTGTGGGTACCTCGGCATCCGAATAGGTTGGGTGGCTCTCTTCTTCTGTTGCTTGTTGTTGTTGTCGAGACTGACTGCAGGGTTCGTCCAGCATCATTTGTTGCACAATGTGTGGCCCGCCAGGCCACAATTCGACCCAACTTTTGTTTTCAGGGGTCGAGGTGGCAAAGTAGTTCAAGTTCTTGGCCCCACACTTGAGGTTGGGCCGATGGTAACAAACAGGACACGAGGGAAATTGTCGGATCGCCACAGTCAAGCGGCTGGGAAACACCTTGTCCAAAATAGCAAATCCCTCTTTCATCTGATGGTGGTCGTCGTCACCTTCCAGCCAAATATCCATGGGTGCTATAAAATCAAAGGATGCCACATAGAGTTGATTCCCAAAGACAAAGAGTCGAAAATCTTCGGCGGCCGGAAAGACACCACTGGTCTTGACATTTACCACCACAGTGTGAACGATGGACAGATCGGAACGAAGCACTGCCAGTGCCAAAAAGTCTTGGGTAGGAGGCTTGCGATTCCAAGTTCCACCATAGAGCTCCTTGGACTCGTGCGGGTAGAAGCAACTTTGCTGCGTGGAGACTCGAAAGGATGCCACATACACAGGAGGGTCATTGTCATGGTCCGCAAGTAGCGCGTGGTTATTGTCAGGTGGAAGAAGGACAATACTGGGATTGTAATGAAACAAAAATCGAGGAGGTTCGGGTTGTGAATTGGCGGCCGAAAAGAAGGCAGTCAAATTCGACAGGGCAGTCGTCGGAACGCGAGATTTGGATGGTAGCAAGGATGGAAACAGATGGGAGGACACAATGTGTGGGATTTGTTGACTGGCATCGTATCGCCAATAGAGCTTTTCTGTGGGCGTGCATGATGATGGATGACACTTGACACAAGCGTCCTGGTGTTCCGTGGCGATTGTTTCGGCGGCTGTTTCCAGTGAAAGACTCTTCTGTTCCATCAAGTTATGAATGAGTAGACCACACCGGATATTCTTTTCCGGTATGGCAATGGCGTGATAGCAACCACCACAGATGGCATTTGTCACGTAGAATTGGTTCGTAGAGACAGATGATGTAGTCTTCTTCGCGGGCTCGACTCGTTGAAATCCCTCGATTCTAAAGGACACCACAGAAGAGACATGCCGCTCTGCCACCCAAACGTTCACCAGGATCAATCCAGAAATCAGAATCAAGGCTACTAGTACAGTTGCTGGAAGAACCAGCCGTCGAGTTGTCAACATGAAGACTTGTTCATGGTGGCTTCAAACAAACCAGGCTTCCGTAGATAATTTCCCTACTTACTCTAAACCCCCCCCTGGACTAAAAGGAGCTGCCGATCTGCTAATTGCCGAGCAGCCTTTTCACTCTAACCCTAACTCATATCTGAACAAAAACCGCAACGCAAAGGCAAAACGGCGAAAGTCTTTCTTTGGGCCGTACGGTATCTTGAGAAGTTACTGTCCATGGCGCATGGCAATGCAATGCCAACTGTAGCTAAAGAGAGCAACTCAACAGTGTGGCAAGCAAAGCTATCGAAACGGCGTTGCTGGGTATCATACTGCTTGACCTTCCCAATGCACCATTTGGCCGTCACATAGCAACGACAGGCGCACCTCTTTGACGTCTCACTGCCGCAAGCTACCAAGGGAATGAACGGCTCACCAATCATTCCTGATCCCCCAAGGAGAGACCATCCCCGCGGTCCGTTGGTTGACACGAGCAGCACACTGCACACTGATACAAGGAGTTCAGCATGATGAATGGGATGTTGCCGTTTATCGAACCCATTGGATTCGTCGACGGAATGGTCGCCATCTTGTGGTACCATACAAGCCAAAGCAGCGGGGGATTTCCAGACCCGTCGAGCACCTTGTCGGATAGCAGGACTCAAAATCGTCTAGGTGGCATGGGACCATGAAATCTTCCACGTGCTGCAACCTAATGCTTTCTAACGGTAGTATCAACGGATCATCATCCGTGCGAAAGATACTTACAAAGTTGATGCCAACGGCACATGTCTTGACACTCTCATTTTTCTTTTTCGTCCTCTTCAACCGACATTCGCGGCATGCTTCACCATCGCGTTTCTCTGGCGTCACCAGTTCACAGGAGAAAGTCTTTAGAGGAGGAATACCTTAGAACAATCAAGCTCTGGCTATGATAGCTAGCTAGAAGCCCCAAGGAACGGTGATAGAATCTCGCCCCACCAAAATTGGGGTTCAAGGTTCACATTGTGTTCATTATTCGCTGTTCTTGGTTTCTGAAAATCTATTTGAACATGAGAATCACCCTCTCGGTTTTGTTTCTCTTCCTGGCTTCACCCCTCGTGGTAGATGCCAAGTCCAAGCGTCGTCAAAGCCGCCCAAAACGAAAATTGCGCAATCTCCCTCATCGTACCCGAGCAGCCGAGTTTCGTGCGGGCAACCTGGAAAAAAGAAATGGCGAATGGATCAAGAAACGGGCTACCACCCCAAAGTCAACGACCAAAAAGAACAAGAAAGCCACCGGAAGTCTTCGTCGACGACAACTTCAAACTGAGGCCGGTTCTTGGTCAGCGGCCAACAGCTGGGTGAACAATAAAAATCCTCCTTATGCGTCGGTGGCGCGAGCACAAGCATTGGGTCTGGCCAACCTGTTCTTTGCCACGAGAGGTGGTTCCTGGACGTTCAACAGCAACTGGTTGACCTACCACATTTCCTACTGTCAGTGGTACAATCAAAAAGATGCCCAAGATATTTGTGAGGACATTAGCCTTATTCCGGGTGTCATTGACCAGGCGTTGATTGAACTCGAGTTGAGGCAAAACAACTTGGTCGGATTTCTTCCCACGGGTCTGGGTGGACTGACACTGTTGGAAGAATTGGACATTCAAGAAAACTCCATTGGAGGGACATTGCCACCGCAGATTGCCAACATGGCTCGATTGGATGAGCTCAATGTGGGAGAAAACAACCTGGTGGGCCGCATTCCTAACTTTGCCAGTATGCCCGAGCTGGAACACTTGTATTTGGACCGGAACAGCTTGACAGGAACAGTCCCATCCGGTACAGAGCTGCCTGCCTCATTGAAGGACATTGATTTGAGGGAGAACCAGCTGGAAGGTTCCATTCCCTTGTCCTTGTTGGGTTTGACGAATCTCCAGTCCATCAATCTCTACTATCTCAAGAACTTGACTGGTACAGTGCCAGGTACGTCAGAATAGTGCATTTATGTTGGCTGCCCGTAGCTAGAGTGCAACGAAGTTTTGCAAAAGTTCCTCACCTTGCAATGTCTCTCTTTTGCACATCCAGACGACCTCTATACTATGCCTGAATTGGAAGAAATTGACTTTGAATACAACTACTTGATCGACACCATTCCTGCTTCCATTGGACAGTCAAGCACTTTGGAGTACATTTCGGTCAAGGACAATTACTTTTTTGGCGCCATCCCATGGCAAATCTTCAACATCAGTTCGCTCGTAGAGTTGCGCCTAGATGACAACCGCTTCAGTGGTCGGCTACCCACCAACATTCCAATCCATACTAACCTGGTCGAACTCCAGCTGGACGACAATAAGCTAGTGGGCCCGATTCCGCCTCAATTTGGCAATCTCGTTGCCTTGGAAAAGTTGACGTTTGGGGATAATGATCTCACCGGTACAGTGCCAGCCGAGTTGACGAGACTTGTGAATCTCACAACGCTGGATCTCAATGAAACCAACTTGATTGGAGCCATCCCCGCCGGCCTGTGCCGAGTCCCTGAGCTCATTTTCGAATGTCGACCAGGTGTGGGTCTCTGTGGATGTTCGTGTGCGTGCCCCCCTGGAGTTGTTCCCGCAAGCCCCGCTCCGCCTCTAGTGATCCCCTCCAATCCAGTGCCAGTACCCGCCGTCCCTGCCCCTCCTCTACCAGTGCCGGTCGTGCCTGCTACTCCTCCACCAGTCCCAGTGCCTGTGCCAGCCACACCAGCTCCATTCATTATTCAAGCCACACCAGCTCCATTCATTATTCAAGGTACACCAGCGCCGTTCACGATACCAGAGATTACCGTCACACTTCCTCCCGTGTATAATACACCAGTGGCTACACCAGCTCCCGTCTCAACACCCGCACCCATTCCTTTCCCTGCACCACCAACTCCCGCCGGCTCTGGAATCACCGTTACGATTCCTCCACAGACTCCTGCTCCGGTTGGAGGAGGCATTACAGTGACAATTTCAAGGGCGAATACTCGAATCTTTGACGGCTCGAATTAGCTAGTAGGACATCTCGGAATCATTTTCTTGAGTTGGGTAGCGTGGGATCGTTTGCTGCTTGAGTCGACCCTGTATCCGAAAGCACCGCGCCAAACCGACATCCAGTGACCTGAATTGCTGCTGTCTCTGCAGGTGTAGTTCATGTTTTTATAAATTACCTTTTCCTTTTAAGAATCAACGATATCGTAATGGTTTCCGTGTGGCTCCAATAGCAAATGAATGTGATTGAAGATTCCTGTCATTCGAAGAGCCTCCCGATCTTGCTCTCCTTCAAGCCAACCCAAATTCCGTCGCAAGTTCCGAACCATACAACAAAGAACACGAGTACACGTGTACTGCTTAGCTTATCGGTGGCTAGCTAGATGATTTCCACGAAGGGCATGGAAGCAGGCGAGCATCTTTTTGGGGGGTATCACGTTTCACTGACGGATGAGACCAAACAGAAGGCTAGAGGAACATGTCAACGCTGCCTTCATCGTCACCAAAGATGTCTCTCACGTAGACATGCATCAAAACTGGACTGGCAGCTCCCTCCACAATCTTTCCAAGCTCGTCTCTCTCGATCTCCTCGTGGAGATCCAGCGTAGAGAATTGTGCCAGATTGTCAGCCATGAAGGTCCTGTAAACGTGATTGGTTTTCCAGTTGACATAGTCCATCACCACTTCCTTTGTACCTCTCCGTAATGCTGCTTTCTCCTCACTGGACAACTTTCTGAGTCTTCGAGTAGTTGCATCTGCGTTGAAAACAGTTCGTACCAGTTTGTCCCGTCTAGCTCGAGTGCGTATATCCACAAACCAATTTTGGCCCAAATCGCCGCGGCAGAATCGAATCGTGAGAGGCATGTTCTGTGATTGGGGCGTCACAATGGTCCTGGCAGCACTCATCAAAGGAGACAGTGCTCCGGCACTACTGCGAACTTCGGATGCATGGCTCGCGTCATCATTGTCGCTGCGTGCTGTCAGCATGTTGGTGGCTACCCTCGGCGGAGATGATCTTCTTGTCGGAACTCGAGCACCAGCCCAGCCAGCAAATGTTGTATCGACGTGGGTTCTCAAGGCCTCCTGCACAGCCCTTGTCGATTCTTCTTCTTCTCGAGCAGAATTAGGGATAGCAGCGTATGCAAGAGGTGGCGTTCTCGAAGATCGGCTACCCTGTCTGATGCTGTGGGCGCCCAAACTGTCTGCGTCTGCGTCAGTCGTTTCCGAATCATAAACGTTTGCATAGATGTGCAGATTTCTGCCGTTGTGTCGATTGTCGCCACTATGGTCACTATCACTGGCACCGCCATCATCATCAGTGTTGCTACTGTCAGATACTTCAGGGTCTGTGTCTACTCTTTCCGGGGGAGGAAGATCCTCTGCACAGATGAAGGGTTCATCGAATTCTTCGTCTACATTGTCGTAGTTGTAGTTGATTCTCCTTTTCCTGGGCCGTAGAAAGCTATCCTTTGTCGTCGGTGCATCCGTTTGGCCGTCGTCTTCGTCAGCAGGGTCAACAGCACCGGACGCTTTTCGTTTGTGCTTTCCAGAGGGAGGAGTAACTGCAGATCCTGTCGGATGAGAGCTATTCTTGTATATCATTGATTTCTGCTGCTGCAGACTAACACTTGTCAATACCTTGAGTTCTTCATAACGTTCCAGGTCTTCCGTTGTGGCAGTTCCGCATCGCCGTCTGGACAATATCCTGTTCTTCTCTTTGTAGAGCTCAGGGTCCACCCGTTCCAGATAAGATATATCTGTTGTGCCCTTGACCTCTTTGTATTGTTCCTTTTCTTGTGGGGTTGCATTTCCCCGCAAGATCTTCTTCCGAAGACGGCTTTCCAGGTTCCTCCTTAGGCGGGCCTCTTCTTCATCTTGGGTCGCATCTGAGGGACGCTTTCGTTTCTTCTTACTGCTCTCAGCCCGAGAATTGCCAACGGTGGCACTGGCTTGATTGGTATCAGTTGCTTGCTGATGATTGGCATCTGTTGCCTGTGTTGGCAAACGAACACATGTCAATGCTTTGACCTCTTCATACCGTTCCAAGTCTTGCGCTGTGGCAGTTCCTTTGCGTCTGCGGTCAGCAAGCCTTATCTTTTCCTTGAACAGCTCAGGGTCAATTCTTTCCAGGTAAGACGGATCCCTTCCACCTGTCAATTCTCTGTATCGATCCTTATCTTCTGGAGTTGCTGTGCGCCGGATTATTTTTTCTCTGATATTGGCTATCCTGTTTTTTCGGGAGGCTTTCAGTTTTCCTTCTTGGTCGGCATCTTCTAGTTGTCGTTGTTTCTTGCTGCACTTCCCCGTTCCAGTGTTCTCATGTAGCCTCGTCAAGACTTTGAGTTCCTCATATCGTTCCAGGTCTCTTGGTGTGGCTGTTCCTTGGCTCTTGGTCCAACTTAGCTTTTTCTTCTCTTTGTAAAGCACTGGGTCGACCTGTTCCAAAACTGATGGATCAGCTCCACTCGAAAGCCGCCTGTACTCTTCCTTGTCATGTGGTGTTGCATCTCCTCGCAGAATCTTGTCGCGCAGACGGAATACCGTGTTCCTTTTCCGGCGGGCTTTTCCCTCTTTTTCGTGCTGGTTGGCATCTGATTGCTTTTGGATCTGGATTTCAGGAGGAGAACTTGCAACACCATTCTGATTGCTTTTGCTTTCGTTGTCGCTTTCATCCTCACTATCACTGTCGCTGCCACTGCAGGCGGTTGCCTTTTGCTGTCGAAGATGTTTCATGCTGGTCAATTTCTTGAGCTCTTCATACCGTTTCAATTCTTCCTCTGTGGCTGTTCCCCTGAGTCTGAAACCACAAAGCCTATTCTTTTCCTTGAACAACTCAGGGTCCATTTGTTCCAGATGAGAAACATCTGTTTCACCTGTAACCTCCTTGTATTCTTCTAATTCTTCGCGGGAAGCCGTCCCTTGAATGATTTTCATTTCGAGACGCCGTCCCGTGTTGTACCTTTGACGTGCCAACGCCCGCCGCTTGTCTCGGATTCTCTGGGTTTTGCTCGGGACGGAAGACGCCAATTTGCCAGTGAGTGCGGTGTACCGTAGTTCCTCGCACCGTGTCGCGATTCCACTAAAGATACAAAAGTACAGGAACACTTCCTCGGCATTTTCTTGACGGATGCTCAGACCACCCGTCAGCTCTTCGAATCGTTCCTCATCCCCCAATTCGGGACATCCGCCTTGGAAGCGGAGGTAGATCTGCTTTGTCTCTTCATGAACACCAAGAGCCATTGTTGCTGGCTAGCTAGCAGAGAGACTTGGTTCAGACGACACTCTTGGACTCGCTGTCACTTTGAGTGAGCTTCAGGTTTCAGGTCGGCCCGTTGGATCGAGGCTCGACGAGTGCCCAAAGATACGTACTTTTACTTTCAGCCTGAACCCTACTGTAGAGGTCAATTTCGCCTAATGTTTTTACAGAAGGAGAAAGTCGATCCCTAAGTACCAAACCAGCTTCTTTGGACAAAGATGTCCTCCAAAAATTCCACGATTTCCACACAGTCACTGCTTCATTTGTGCGAGAGAAGAAGCTCTATCTGTTGGTGCGACGAGGCGAAGCCGCTGGGTTACTGCAACACTGCAACCACCATTCTCGATAGATAGCTAGCTCTACCTACTAGCTAGCTAGAGAACAACACAGCCAAAAGGAGGGATCTTATATTCAGAGATTCCCAAGTAGATTTGAATAGGCACACAAAGAACCTTCCTTTGTCTACCCAGTTAACAGAGGGAGAAGAATCAAGAAACTTGAGGTATCGGTACCCAATCTAGTCCGAGAAAGAAAGAATAAATTTGCGAGAGCCTCAGTAGCGAATCACAAGATGCAAGCAACGGCAACTTCTTGTTGGTTGCTGTTATTGGGGTTATTGTCAGTACATGTATGCTTGGTTTCTGGAGAGCTCTGCACCGCGACACTCCAAAAAGCGGATGTCAACAACGATGGAATCCTGACACGAGACGAGTACATTCAGTTTTGCAATGGAGAAGCGCAAAAAACTCCCATGGTACTGGAAAATTCCGCCGCCATGTTCAATGAGGATACGTTTCCACAAGAACTGGATCAAGTCTTTGATAGTCTCAAACAGTCCGACTGTAGTGGCATCAATATTGCCGGTGCCCGAACGATGACGAAGAGTGCAATGACGCCACAAGTCCGGAAGCAACGAGCCATTGTCGAGTTGGTCTGTGTTCGAACGAGAGGTACCATTACCAAAATGTTGCAAAAAACCAAAGACGGCAATTCACAACAAGTACTACGTAGTGGTCCTTTTGTTGGCGAAGAATCATCAGATGGGCTCCACCACGGGAACGAAGCCGTTGAAGTCAAGCAACCTGGTTCGGGTGGCGGCCCTGACTCTAGCGGTGGCGGCCCTGGTTCGAGTGGTGGCGGATCCGGCTCTGGTGGTCCTGGTGGAGAGGGTGGGATGCAAGGAGATGGAATGGGCCCTGACGGCGGTGGTCCCGGTTCTGGTTCAGGTGGGCAGGGCATGGGCCAGGGAGGTTCTGGTGGCCAGGGCAGCAGCCAAGGTGGCCCTGGTGGAGGCGGTGGACCAGATGGAGCTGGTGGTATGACTGGAGAAGGTATGGGTCCAGATGGTGCTTCTGGTGGAGGTGGTCCTGAAGGCGGTGGACCAGATGGAGCTGGTGGTACGCCTGGAGAAGGTATGGGTCCAGATACCGGTAGTGGCTCTGGTGGTGGTGGTCCTGGTGGAGGCGGTGGACCAGATGGAGCTGGTGGTATGACTGGAGAAGGAATGGGTCCAGATAGTGGCTCTGGTGGTGGTGGTCCTGGTGGAGCCGGTGGTATGCCTGGAGAAGGTATGGGTCCAGATGGTGGTCCTGGTTCTGGTGGCCAGGGCATGGGCCAGGGAGGTTCTGGTGGCCAGGGCAACAGCCAAGGTGGTCCTGGTGGAGCTGGTGGCCCAGATGGAGCTGGTGGTACGCCTGGAGAAGGTATGGGTCCAGATGGTGGTGGTCCTGGGTCTGGTAATGGAATGGGCCAAGGAAATGGCCAGGACAATGGCCAGGGCAGCAAAAATAAAGTGACAATCGGTAGCGCTTTTGTCATTTCCAATGCTGATGGCATCGCAGCTGATGATATCGAAGCTGAGTACGTGGATGGACTTACCCAAGTATTGGAAGACGCTCTGCAAGATGAGTTATTTGCAGGTCTTCTGGAGGATGCCTTTGCCAACTTGAACGGCCAAGTCCCACAAGGAGAAACAGGTGAAGAAATTAAACCTGAAGAGCCTGAACAAGGCGTAGACAGCAACGAAGAACAAATGGAAGAACCCGAGCAAGGCGAGCCAGGTGAGGAACCAAGTGAAACAGATGAAGAGCCAAATGAGGGTTTAGAGCAAATGGAAGGACCGGAGGAGGGAGAAGAGCCAATGGATGGAGAGGAACCAATGGAAGAACCTGACGAGGACGAAGAACCTGAGCAAATGGAAGAACCTGAGGAGGGAGAGGAACCAATGGAAGTACCTGAGGAGGACGAAGAACCTGAGGAAATGCCTGAAGAGCAGATGGAAGAACCTGATGAGGTAGAAGAACCAATGGAGGGAGAGGAGCCAGTGGAAGAACCTGAGGAGGGAGAAGAACCAATGGAAGAGCCTGAAGCACCAATGGAAGAACCTGTGGAGGGAGAAGAACCAATGGAAGACCCTGGCAATGAGAGGGAACCAGCTGAAGGCGACGAAGAACCTATGGGAAATACTGGCGAGGAGGAACCTATGGGCAATCCAGGTGATGAGATAGAGCCAAATGGCGAGAATGCGGATGAATGCCCAGAGCCTGACGACGTAATTTGCACAGATGACTTCAGCCCTGTTGTGTGTGGCGACCTGCAATGCGAGTACACCAATGAATGCAGGGCCATTGCAGCTGGGTTTGATACTGAGAGCTGCATGCCAGCAGAAGATCCAGGTCGTCGTCTTAGTATGATGTCAAAAAGACTGCTTCAGGGCGTCGACAGTGAGCTCACAATCGAAAGTGTTGAAATTGAACGCGTCGAAGATTCGGATTGCCAAGAATCAGCTGCATCCAGCGGGACCACTTGTCAAACGGTTTTTGCAATGTACACAGTATTGACAGATGGATCATCGATACCTAGACCCCAAATCTTACGAGCATACGCCTTGGCGACAGAACAACTCATCAATGAACATCTGCAAGGTTTCCTGCCGGACGACTCACCGTTCACAATTGAAGAAGCGTTGGATCCCGAAGAGGTTGATGATGTTCCATCTATCGACGACGGAGACGAAGGCGACGAAGAACTCGAATCCAATGAAGGCAACAGCAACAACCCACTCACAAGGGTCATGAATGTCAATACGTCTTTCCAAGTCACATTTACACCTCCATCCGAAGATGGCGATATAACCGTAGCGAAAAACAAAAGACAGCTTCAAAGAGACATCCGAATGTTCCTATCAACAGCGCTTGTCGACATTGCTGAAGTTCATTCGGGTGGTGAGCCAGGTGGGCAAGGAAACGGTGTAATGAACGGCCAGGGTGGTCCTGGTGGATCTAGTGGCCAAGGTCAAGGCCAAGGAAGTGAATCCGGTCTGGGCCAAGGCAATGGTGGAATGAATGGGCAGGGTGGGCCTGGTGGCTCGAACGGCCAAGATCAAGGTAGTGGACCGGGTATGGGCCAAGGAAACGGTCCTCAAGGAAGACGGTTGCGAGTGCGAATCAGCCCGCAGCAGTCTGATATTGTCGCCATCGAAGACTGCGATGGCAACTTCTTGAGCGGACCGCTGCAAGGCGGTAACAACGGAGGTGGCGAACAAGGCCAAGGCATGGGACAGGGGAATGGACAATCTAGTGGCCAGGGCAACAGTCCAGGTGGAGGTGGAGGTGACCCTGGTTCTGGTGGTCAGGGTATGGACCAGGGAGGTTCTGGTGGCCAGGGCAACAGCCAAGGCGGTCCTGGCGGAGGAGGTCCCGGTGGCCCAGATGGAGCTGGTAATATGCCTAGCGAAGGTATGGGTCCAGATGGTGGTGGCCCTGGTTCTGGTGGACAGGGTATGGGCCAGGGAGGTGGACAATCCAATGAGCAGGACACCAGTGGAGGTGGTCCTGGTGGCAGTGGTGGTGGCCCAGGAGGAGAAAACCAAGGTGGCCCAGGAGGAGGCCAAACACGTCATCTGCAACAGGAGCTTTGTCGCAATGTGATTTTCGATGTTGAGTTTTTGCTGTCTGACAACGAGGATGCTCAAGCACTCTTTGACCAGCTGAAAGATGAAGTGCCTGGTGACGTGGATATACTTGAAGAGGCCCTCAATGATGGATCAAACGTTTCGTTCGTCGTCACTTCACTGTCTATAGATGATTTCACACTGGGAGAGCGCCCAAAAGGCAACTCAGAAGGGAAGGAGGTATGTCAGTTGCCCGTGGACTCACTCGCTCACGGTCACATTGCGTCGTGATCAAGTCTTAACACTCATTCTGATCTTTTGCGCTTTCCAGGATGGACCACCGGGACCACCGTCAGTAGAATCGACTACACGACAACCACTGTTGGTGAATTCGTCGTTCCTCATCTCTAGAACTGACGGCAAGACGGCGGAAGAGTTGGACTTGCTTTTGAATCCTCCGCTAACGTTGATGTCTGAATCGGACGAACTGAAGCCACTCAAACAAGCCTACAAGAAGTTTGTAACTGACGTTGTGCAAGGGGTAAGCGTAAGCAACAGCGCAGCAGGGAACGGCGCCACAATGCAAGGAGGTGGAGGATCAGATCAAGGAGGTGGTCCTGGAAATGGAGGTGGTCCTGGAAACGGAGGCAACCGGACGAGCGATGGAGGTGGACAAATGAACGGTCAGGGTGGCCCGACCAGGCACCGGCACTTGCGATATCAATACTTTGATCATCTGTATCTTGAAGGCCGCGGTGCTTGGAGACGTCTAACCGCACAATACGATGGCGATAGCGCCGAACTCTATGGCTTTGTGGACACCCCCTGCGATACAACGGCGGCAGTTTCGAGACAAGGCAACGCAGCAGAAAAGACATGCGTCACTGTATTCGGGAAGTATCGCGTCCTGGTTGACGAAGAAGCGGACGTCGACGAGGTGTACAAGGCCTATGCGGAAGCCACGCAAGCGTCTATATCAGAAGGCAAGTTAAACGAAGTCTTTCTCGAGGTCGCCGCAGAGTTGGGGGCAACGCCGGCTTTTGTGGTGGAAGGTACTTCTCCGGTGGTAGACGACCAATTCAATGCCAAAATGGAGATTGAGGACGCAGCTGCTGCTGCCTCCAACACCACACGTCCTCCCAGACCATCCTCGTCATCGAGCAATGCCACAGAAGCACCTGCAAACAACAATCAAAGCTCTGCCATGGCACGCTGGAAACTGTATTCCTTGTCCGTGGGTGCAGCAAGCTCCTTGGTAGTGACGTTTGGGTCAGCATATCTTTGGTGATAATGCTGGTTTGCCGATCACTGCAGTATCCCAAAAAACAACCGAGTAAAAAACAAAAAATTCAGGCACACAGCCAGTTGAAGAGATAAGACAAAGGGACAAGACAAACGGTTTTTGGCTATGTACTTTTATGACTAATTTTGGGTGTGAGAAAGACAGACCATCCAAAGAGCGTTGGAGCTCCAAAAGGTCAAAAGAAACCAAAAGTATTCGTACGTGTACAATAGACAAGATGATTCTCATAATAATTTAACCAAGGTACATGCATATCCACATTTTACTGATAGTGAATAAAACTCGTCGAAAGGATCAAGTTGATTGTTGTTGTTGCCGGGTGTCTACGGTATCGCAACCACTCCAGCACTCAAGGGAATTGACAGCCTCAGGATCTCTCTCCACGAATCCTTCTGGCAAGCTGCATGTCTTTGGGCATGATGGTAACGCGCTTGGCATGAATGGCGCACAAGTTGGTATCTTCAAATAACCCAACAAGGTAAGCTTCACTAGCTTCTTGCAAAGCTAGAACAGCCGACTCCTGAAAGCGCAGGTCTGACTTGATATCTTGGGCAATCTCTCGGACCAACCGCTGAAAGGGTAACTTGCGAATCAAGAGATCCGTGCTCCTCTGATAACGCCGAATTTCTCGAATGGCCACAGTCCCTGGTCGATAGCGATGAGGTTTTTTTATTCCTTGAGCTGTGGGTGCCGTCTTTCTAGCCGCCTTGGTGGCCAACATCTTACGGGGTGCTTTTCCACCAGTGCTCTTGCGAGCCGTCTGTTTGGTTCGAGCCATGATTTTGATGAATGGCAGATGAAGGATAGTGCGATATTGGCAGTTTGTCCACGGTCAGTCTTGATTCCAGCAGCGTCCGCTCTCTTTGTTAATCCAGCTCCAAAGCAACAACAGAGACCCTCGAGTAGATACCGGTAGACTAATAAGATGATGAAGAATGAGGTTGACACGTGGATCGGCTGGTTCCTTTTCTTTCCTGCTTGGCTTTCGAGGGAAACTGTATTGTAGTACAGCCGTAGCCGTTGTCTCTTGGTTTCAGTTTCGAAGCTTTTTCCACGATTTGATTTGTTGCTGCATTCAAAACTATCCCTAACAAATTTCACGCCACCCTTGAGGTTAAATTGAAAGGCCATCTATTTTCAGAGCAAGAAAGAAGTTCCGAGGCTTCGAGGCTTGTTGCACTCTTCTTTGCCAAACTTGCAAATCCATGTATGTGTTGGACTGGACAAGCAAAAATCCCCGAAGAGATACGGTACCACCCAGGAACAGAGCCAACAAGGACTTCAGTTGTGTCTTTTAAAAGACATTGAGAGTTAGATTGCATCTTTCTCTGTGTATCTCTTTGGAGCTGCCATGGATGTTGGCTTGACCAAGTCGACGAGAATAGCCCGACGGGTACACAACAAGAATCTTCCAAACAAAGACGACGATGACGATGAACCCACCAATTGGCGAGAACATTTGCAAGACTATGACTGGCAATCCAACATCAAGGCGCTCCGACTGGAACTGGAATCTCCGCACAATTTTCGATGGGACATGACCCTCCGCATCACTGTGGAATGGCCGGCCGTACGAAAATGGGCCTTGGTCACTCTGCAAAAGAGTCTGACGGGACGAAACGACAGAGCCCAACAAAAGGAATTTCTGGGTCTGTTTGTGCCCAAATGCCCTCCCGAGAAACTATCCTTGCTGACGTTTATTGAGCCCCTGTCGATTGTGATGGACAACATGGAATCCGTAAAGTCAGCACAGAAGAAAAATTATAACGAGAGAGTACCCACCAATGCTACCAATTCCACCGCCCCAAAGGATGATAGCGAATATAATGACGGCGATGATGCATACGACAATAATTACCCAGATACTACTTTGGACAATAAAGAAGAAGACGTCGCCTCTGATTTTGGATCGAACATTTGGAGTGTGGAAGCGGGCAATGTGGATCCCTTGCTCGATTTGCATTCTCTGGGAGATCCGACGAGTAGAACTCCGGCGTTTGCTGACTGGGAACCGGACGAATTAAAGGCATTGGATTGGAGAGCCAACATGGACGCTCTGGAAATTGCATTGAAAAGGCAGACGGATTGGCATGTCCTCGAGACAGTGTACCTGGCAGATGCTGGAGTGCGGCAATGGGCCAGTCAAACGTTGCAGCAGTGCCTCGATTGGAGCCCTGGTATTACCGAGGCACAACGACACGAATTTCTCGCTCTCTTTGTCGACCGCATGCCCAAGAACTCGCTGCGACGGCTGGATTTTTCGGCACCGACGGTTGTCGAGGAAATATCGAACAAGCTGGAGGAAGAAGCGCCGGTGGAGGACGGCAACCTTTCTTCCGATGACTCGTCCGTGTATCTTTGATGGGGTGGGAAACGAGGGGAAAACGAAGTCGCGCTGGAGGTTTCCGAGAGATCAATGCGATTGGCGTGGGAACAATCAACCGGTGTGCCATACTATTATCAACGAACACTTTTCGTTCCAAGCATGCAGTCACCGAAGAGACGCCGACAATCTACCCCACTCGAGCTGGACCATCACAACAGCAATAAGCGAACGAGTATCTCGCAGTTGGACAAAGCCTTTATCCAATGCAGTCAATAACTTCAAGTTTATGTTTGCCCTCATGTTCGCGACACCGACCAGTCGTTGCTTTTGTCCACAGGGGCTCTACCTCGGCCGCTTTCAAAAGGTAGAAGCATAATAGCTATGGTACTAGCTACAGCCAGATCATATTGATAAAACACAAAGCCAAACGTTTCATGTAGCGACACCACAAAAAAAGGTCTCTCGAGCCGGAATCGCAACGCCAAGCAGCTGAGGAATTCCACTGGGAAAGATTCGGTGTAGCTGGGCATGAGAACGCTAAGACGGCTCCTTTCAGAGGCGGAGACTTAAAAAGTTGCAGTCTCCCATAGTGCGTGTGCGTAGTCTATGGTTACCCGGGCTGGTGTTCATTCTCAATTTGCGAACGTGGAATAGGCGGTGACTACCGGCACATATAGCATTGGGTCGAGCTGCCAAAAATTTATTTCTCGAGCCGGAATCGAACCGACACGGTTTTCGATCCCTTTTCGCCACCGACCGTATTCTCTACTTTTGGCTTTTTGCCCTCACAGTTAATTTTACTAGTTTATGGGTAGTTTTGAGCTTTACACGTAGAGCTGGTACAAAATCCTACGTAACCAGCGGCTCAGTTCTACCGTTGGAAATTGGCATGTAAAATCCTTAAACGATATCTTAGTGGGTTAACAGAGACGAGTCTTATTTGCTAGTGATTAAGTCTAAATCGATCCCAGATCCGTACCCTGATGTGGAAGACAAACCTTTGAAGAGAGTGCTTCTGAAGGCCGACAGTGGTCCTGGAAGGATGAACCTGGAGATGCAAGCTGATCTTCGATTGCAGGGAGTGTACATCACTCCTGGAGTGCCGATTCCACCAGTGTTACTCAGGAGACGGATCAAAATTACGGTGTATACAAGAGTTGTTTTCGCGAAAACCTGAGAACCATTTCACAAGCAAGATTTGATAGGAGCGAGACTCTTCAAGTGTCTGACTTGCCTCTCTTGGTTTTCGGTGGTCAATGCCCATCCACAAACGTCCAGCTTAGGGACTCTTTTACAGCGGCATTCAGTATTGGACGCAATCTCTCTGTCTGGAAGAAATGTGGAGCTGTTCCTCTTACACGAGCACCCTTGCTAGCAGCATCTCTCAGACATGAAGTCCCAGATGATCGAGCAGCCTCTGTTGCGGCAGTTGGTGGTGAAACGGTAGACCCTGAGGTAGAGAAACTACGGCGAATTGAAGAGGCCAATTTGTTGTTCTGTGAAATGCTCACCGCATATGGAATGAACGGAAGCAAGTTGAAGAAGAAAGCTCCCAAGAGAACAACCTTTGTTGCTGTCACACAGCCCCATTCCAAGGAACGTATCAAGGCAATCAAGGATGCCAAGACCGCTGGCCAAATGTTTTATGCGACAGGTGGCCGACACATGAACACAGATGAATTCTTCAAAGCCAGAGAAATGGCAGGAAGAGAAGAGAGGTCAAAGCACTCGAAGATGACAAGAAGGTCCGAACTGCTGCTCGTGAGGCAGAGGTTGCTTCCAAGACCTTAATTCAACAGAAGGGAGAACTCCACGCTGATGGACGAGGTTTCGTTGTTGCCGAATTGAAAATCCTGGCAAAGTGGAAGAAAATCACTCCCTTGCCATCAAGGAAAGCCGACCTCATTGCTGCTGTCCGCATGACCCAAGAGCCTCTCCCAGTCAACCAGTGGACGGAGGATGAAGAGAAGGGAACTTGCAGGTCTCAAGTCAGACAATGTGCAAGTGAAAGACACGGCCCTTGGTGTGGCAGCGTGTCAAATGGCGAGGGCCATCACCAACAATATTGCCAATTTGGATGATCAAACAAGGGCCCAGCTCAAAGCCGCGATTCAGGCGTCCGAGTATGGTGAACCTACTACTCCTCTGAGGTTTGCATGGCTTTGGAGGCCTCGGAAGGGCTTCGAAACAGCGGCGTTTCCTCATTGTCGATCTTTTTTTTGGTTGTTCTTTTTGTTGTGTCGAAGAAAAAGAGTCAATCACTA